TTTTGGTAAGTAGGTATTAGTTAACTCATTTCTGAAATATATAATTCCTAAATTATAATATATCCAAATAGTACATATATCAATATAGAATGATCCGTATATTTGAAATAGAAGAGAACGAAATAAATGAATAATTTCGCAGACATTTGAAGTTATGGCAGCAGCAAAACATTCATAACATTGATGTTGATGTGAATAAGATAAAGAAATGTAAAGTGAGACTTTCGGTACTCAAAGTATAATTGTATTTTTAACTAACCAAATATTTTCATAGTTAAAGGGACAAATGGCGATGCAATTAAAGCGACAATGTTTTATGTTATTGAGATAAAACTAATGCACGAAGATAACATTTGAGGAGTGCTTTGTAATTTATCAAGAAAGTTGTTAAATAGTGCTGAGACCACATAACATCTATAAAATAGTACTTAAAGTAAGAAAAAGTGGTAATTTAAGGTAGCACTACAGGCAGACCTTTCTGACTCCATTCAGCAGTCTTTTAAAGATAAATTTCTCATAAATTACAGAATGGATTTTTATAATCTTTATCACACTTTAAAGCAGCTGAACTTTCTTAATCTAATGTTTTTTTTGGTAGGATCAATTTAAAAATATAGCCCATGAACTGCCAAATAACGGCGCTCCCAACTTGGAAAGCATATTTCATATCGTAGTAAAAATCTATTTTTATCCCTTTGATTGACCAAGCTACAAAATTGTGTCTCAGATTGTTTATATATGACTGCAATTAGAAGATATATTGATTCAACTGTTGGGTACCACACCTCATTTCACCTTTGTAATCTTTGGAGAACTATAATTCATTCAAAAACAAAGTACCCTAAAACAGGGACACGGTTGTGTGGACAATAATCCATTTAATCACATATATCAAAACCAAACCAGAGGGGGCACCTATAGAGGTTCTATTTTTTATTTTTTAAGGCAATTCCCATGAAATGTTTTTTTGAAAATCACTTAAAAACTGACGATCCCCCTGTGAACCCCATAAATGCAACTTAAATATAAAGATTCCTAGTGTTCTGACACCATTATTTTATCATTAAAACCACACAGTTTGTGTCTTTTGTACACTCAACTGTAAATTTTACATTAAAACATGGAAACACATGTTAAAAAAACAAAACACGTTGCGTGATTGAGATACTTAATAGTTTTGACCATATCTTTATTATTTGACTTTAAAAAAAGTCAATTGTGATGCTACTTCTCCCGCCAGTTCTAATTACCACATGATGTGCATTTACCAAATGTGTTTATAATTTCTATGAAGGAGCTCCCTGTCTAATATATTAATGATGTGTCCCAATGGTACATATGTGAATTATATAGATTTAACTGAGGTTCAAATAGGAACATCAGTTGAAGCTATTATATACATAATTAAATTTGATGAACTCTCCCAGATTAAGATTGCAAACTGAGATTCTATCATGTCATTATTGGAGGTCAAAAGCGTTGCATAAGAATATATGGAATGTTATGGGGTCATATGAAAAGTACATAATACATGTACAACATAGGAAATAACATAATTAAATTATAATAAATTGCATAATAATTATATATTAAAAACGTTAAATCATTTGACAGATGTGTACGTCTTTCTTCTTTCTATAGCCGGGTTTCTTTTTATTTTTGTGAATTATTGGAGATAAATGTAATTTAATACGCCAATTTTAAGTTCACTTATTGGAGATGCACACAAACTTTCTAGTTGCAACATCCTGTATCATTACAACCATTATGCTTGTAGAAGAGAACTTAGTTCACATGTTAGAACAGAAATAAAGTATGAGTTAGTAAGAATCTTATCTATCTATACTATTTTTAAATAATCATGCCTCAATCCTAATTTTTAATCTAAATTTTCTCTATGCTTTATGTATTTTATCCATTAAGCATATTTCTATAATTCGCCATTGCTTAAGGTTTTCCCTAATTTTACTCTTTTCTTTTGTTTAACTAATTTTTCTCTATTCTTTATTTGTTTACCTTAAATTTCCATACTAATTATTTTTCATTGCCTATTTTTCAATACAATTGGCCCATTATCTGCGCGGAAGAGGAAAAAAAAAAAGAAATAGTAACCGCTCGACTCCGTCCGTCTGCCCTACAGAAGACCTGGGTTCTATGCACAGGAAAATGATTTAATGTTTGGTCTGCAGCTGGATAATGTTTCCTCAAAGAGATACTGTTGTTAACAGAATTCTGAATAGAAAATCGTTCTTCAGAAAGATGATATTCTCAGCGGAATTTTGATGAGAAAATCGTTTTTTCTAAAAGATGCTGACCTTAGCAGAATTCTATTAAAAAAAGATCGTTTCCTCAGATTCATACTATTCTGAACAAAAACGTGATAAGAAAAGCGCTTCCTTAGATAGATAGTATAGTTAACAGAATTCTGATATAACAATAGGTTTCCTCAGGTAGATACTGATCCAAAAAGAAATCGTTTTCTCAGAGATACTTTTCTTAACAGAATTCTGATTAGAAAATCGTTTACTCAAATAGATACTTTTTCTAAACAGAATTCTGATAAGAAAATCGTTTCTTCAGATAGATACTTTTCTTAACAGAATTCTGATAAGAAAATCGCTTCCTCAGATCGATACTTACTGATAAGAAAATATTTTCGTCAGATAGATACTTTCCTTAACAGAATTCTGATAAGAAAATCGCTACTCAGATAAATAATTTTCTTAACAGAATTCTGATAAGAAAATAGTTTCTTCAGATAGATACTTTTCTTAACAGAATTCTGATAAGAAAATCGCTTCCTCAGATCGATACTTACTGATAAGAAAATATTTTCGTCAGATAGATACTTTCCTTAACAGAATTCTGATAAGAAAATCGCTACTCAGATAAATAATTTTCTTAACAGAATTCTGATAAGAAAATCGTTTCCTCAGATAGATACTTTTCTTAACAGAATTCTGATAAGGAAAAAGCTTCCTCATTCTTAACAGAATTCTGATAAGAAAATCGCTTCCTCAGATCGATACTTTCTGATAAGAAAATATTTTCCTCAGATAGATACTTCCCCTAACAGAATTCTGATAAGAAAACCATTACTCAGATAAATAATTTTCTTAAAAGAATTCTGATAAGGAAATCGCTTCCTCAGATAAATAGTATTCTTAACAGAATTCTGATAAGGAAATCGCTTCCTCAGATAAATAGTATTCTTAACAGAATTCTGATAAGAAAATCGCTCCCTCAGATAGATATTTTCTGATAAGAAAATATTTTCCTCAGATAGATATTTTCTGATAAGAAAATATTTTCCTCAGATAGATACTTTCCTTAACAGAATTCTGATAGGAAAATCGCTACTCAGATAAATTATTTTCTTGACAGAATTCTGATAAGAAAATTGTTTCCTCAGATAGCTACTTTTCTTAACAGAATTCTGATAAGAAAATTGTTTCCTCAGATAGCTACTTTTCTTAACAGAATTCTGATAAGAAAATCGTTTCCTCAGATAGATACTTTCCTTAGCAGAATTCTGATAGATACTTTTCTTAACAGAATTCTGATAAGAAAATCGCTCCCTCAGATAGATATTTTCTGATAAGAAAATATTTTCCCAGATAGATACTTTCCTTAACAGAATTCTGATAAGAAAATCGCTTTTTCAGGTAGATACTTTCCTTAACAGAATTCTGATAAGAAAATCGTTTACTCATATAGATATTTTCCTTAACAGAATTATGATAAGAAAATCGTTTCCTCGGATAGACACTTTTCTAAACAGAATTCAGATAAGAAAATTGTTTCCTCAAAAAGATAGTATTCTCAACAGAATTCTGATGATTTTTTTTTAAAGTCTCAAAAGATTACAGTCCTGATATCATTCTAAAAAAATCGTGATAAATTGATACAATGTAAGAAGATGCCTCATTCTTAACGTATCACATCCTGAATTTGATCATTTGGAAATAATCAGCTGCAAATGGAAGCTGTTTGTTCGAGGCTAAGCCGAGGGCCATAGTTAGTACAAAAGGACAACAAACTTGTTTGTACCCTCATGACCAATCTTGAAGTGTTTTATTATACTGAACAAAACAAACGTCTAAAGAATCTACATACACACCACCTGGTATAAACAAATAGTCGCTTTATACATGCAGTGAGCTTTAACTTTTGTAAAAATGGTATCAAAACTAATGTAATCAAAACTAGGAATCCTTGTGTAAAAACTAGCATGCATATATTTACCGATAACTTAAACAATCACAGATCATGAGGACGAGGAGAGACCCATACCACACATTTGTTATGTTGTAGAACTATACATATATATGTCGCGTAGATTTTCTTTTTTCTTTTTTAATTGATCATGGTTAGTAAAATGTTAATTTGAAATTACGACGACAGACATTTACAGATTTCACTGTTTTCGATATTTCAGATTTTTACGCTAAAATGCGCGCAATCAACATGAATAATCAATAACGTCATTGTTGTCCAATGAACAATAAGTACGAAAAAGTCCGGGAAATATGATTAACCGGGATAATAGTCTTTGAAACTATTGACTTGAAAATAGTCTGTGGAATGAAATAGCACAAATATGTCATTTTTTTTGTATAGAAAAACATATTGAGGTATAATTAGACAACTATCATACAAGTGGGAAGTTTAGCTAGCTATAAAACAAGGTTCAATCCACCATTTTCTCCGGAAAATGTCTGTTCAAAGTCATGAATAGGGCTGTTGTTTTTCTCTTGATAGCGTTTTATTTTGTCAGTTTTGATGGACTTCTTTTTGCATTTGCCTTAGAGTTCGGTTATTTTTGTTATACTTTTTTATGTAGAAGTTTAGAATTAATAAAACAAAACGGCAAATGTTTCGATTAATGGTATTCAAATGGAGCAATGATGAAAAACGATGATGCTTGCCTCCTTTTTTTCTCATTTTCTTCTGTAAGTTCGATAATTTCTTCAAAAACAGAAGAGATTATTCTGTCTTACCTTTTTCTGATGCTCTTCAAAATCTATAACTCCGGTAATTTTTCTGATGACTTTCATAATTTTTAATCTCTCTCCAATTTTGCTGCAATGATACAATTATATTTATTGAGGAATAATAGAACTATTTTTTTAGCAATTTACTCTTTAAAAAAGTATGTATTGTTAATCATTTATCAGTGTTATGCATTGGTGTTTATCTTCATACCTTTCATTTTTGGCTTATCGCAATTTTGAAATGTATTTTAACTAATACATTCATTGTTTACTTCTGTTTTAACTGGTCCTCATTTATTATGGTATCTTTTATCTTGATGTTGTAATGTATTGTAACATTAAATTTGTTGGAGGAACAAATATATAAGTGTTATGTCGGACTTGCTAAAAGTGCAATGAAAATATCGATTGTCGTTATCTTTTCGTATTAATTACTAACTGCACACTTTCATTTGTTCCCTTGAACTTTTTTTCGATTTCATTATTGTCTTCCCTTTGTAACACATTGTTGTCGGTCAAATGTCATTTTCTGCTCTGCTAAAAAGAACTGAGTTGATTTGTCTTGTCATTAACTTGACCCTTTGATTGCTCTGTTGAGACTCTATGGTATTATGGTAAATTTAGCTGTCATCTAACATTCCACGAAATCGAAACCAGCAAGACTACCTTCTATACAACTCTTACCATATGAAACATTTCTGGGGAAGGAATATGGGAGTAGCGATAAATCGGCGAGCATTCCATAAATAAAGTTGCATGTATTATTTTGGAATGACCCTTTTTTAAGTTCTTTTTTCGATAGACACTAAAAAGGTGAAAAGTCTCATATATAACTGAAATAATTTACTCACGTTATGCCCATTTTTTCAAGTTGTTCTTCATTTAACATATCCAACACTTCTCCGGATATACCCTCCTCTGCAAATAAATCTATCACATGAAGCAAATTTAATGCTGATTGTCCACGTCTTGTGGCGGAGCATATGATGTTGAGATGAAAAATCAATACTTTAATATTTCAAAATCATCATTTGGTTTGGAATTTTGGTTCTTTTTTAGAATAATTAATCAATTCATTGCACTATTGGTTGTTGATAAAAGCAATAAAAGGTACAGCTATCCTCGGTAGTTTTTCTGAATAAATGAACAGGGAATTCAAATGATAATGTTTTGAATATCTTTTTAAATGTTGGTTTATTACATTTTACATTGATTAAACAAGTAGTAACAAATCCGGACAAAACTTTTATTGATATATGTTTATAATAATAATATAAACAGAACCAATTTTAATGCACCATATGCGCATTTCGACAATCAATGTATATTAAGTGATGCTCGAGGCCAAAATGTTTGAATATTAAAAACCTACTACAAATGTTGAAAATCGGATCAAACCAAAAAGAACCTAAAGTATAGCAAAATCTGGACAAGGAATTTCAGCTTTGCATGAGGGAGATATATTCCCTAATTTAAAATAATTTCCCAAATTTTATAACAACAAATGTTAATCAAACAATATTCGTATTTTCTTCCAAGTACCGAAGTACTTGCTACTGAGCTGGTTACCTGTATCCATTATTCATATGTTTTGAAATATTTACTGTTTGTAGAACGATTCAAAGTTATGATATACTCTTTATGTATTAATGTTCATTTGTCTTATATGTGCCTCAAATTATTACTTCAATAACTTGATTTGTTTCTTCAAATATATGTCAAAAGTTTAAGAATTACTCGTTTTGGTTAGACATTCCATTACAATAAGTTAAGCTAGGTAATAGCCGTTTAGAACATTTTCCATTTAAGCCTATCAAAGTTAAGTTTTTATTCAATGTTATACTAAATTGTCGAACGGAGGTAAATACTTCACATGAGAATTCCCATCGGGTATACTAGATGCATACATACTTACACTGACACACACATACACAAAAATACAGACATACACAGAAATGTAAACAACTGTCATACAAGTGGGAGGTTTAAAAACGATGTTGAACACACAATTTCACCACAATGGTTTAATCGAGTGTTTGATTTTTTTATGGACTTCCCACTTTTTTAAATTTACGTTGGAGTTTTGGTATTTTTGTTAATACTGTTTTATACATACATACACACATTTTGCTTACTTATCTAGAAAATATGTTTCAGGATTCTACCTTTATTTTCACATTACTGACAATTAAAAGAAGTTTACCTCTGAATACTTTGGCTGCGTTATTAAAAGAATAGTCTTCCAATTTCATGGCTACATCTTCTTCTGACCAAGTTATGTACCCTTCCCCAACTGGAAGACTACCTGATGTCGAAGGCTGAGGTTCCTCTTCCTTAAATGATTCGCTAAATGAGACCTCAGATCTTTTTCTCTTTGAAGCGAAAACTTCTTGGGATTTTGATTTTCGTTTTTTGCCCGTCATAGCAAATTGTTGCTGTAATGAGAAATAAAGATGTTTGACCTATATGTACGTTCAACTGTCATGACTATATTTCTAACCGCCATCTTTTACAGTTGAAAGAATGGTGGTAAGAACTTTAGAGAGATATAAAGTCGCACATCTTGAAGGAACGGCTAGATATTATTCTTCATAAAAATTTTGTGAAGGTTAGCTATCCGGTACAAAGATTTCATCGTCCTTTTTCAGGTAAATACAACAAGAGGGAATGATTTCCTACAATCATTTATTTCGTGATTGATGTAGCGGTACATAAGTGGGATTTTCTGTTTTGCTGTCAAATCAAAGTTCTTAAGGAAGACATTCCAAATAATGCAAACAATATCGTTTGAAGTTTTGTCTGCTGTTGGATATAGTTGTTTTATTGGCAATCATACCACAGCTCCTTATTGTATGATGATCTTATCATTTTAAAATACTGAAGTAATATTGCTACCTCTTTTTTTTTAAAAGCTAATGTTTCCCCTTTATTTTTCCTTAACAAAATGTAACTGTTTGCATACGTCGTCTTCAATAAATATTTTATAATTTTCGCAAGAAGGTAGGCATATGCACAAAATATGAAAAAGGTGTGATTTCATGATGGCACCAATACTATGTTTAAGTCGGAACGATGCGCTAATTCCATCTCCATAAAAAAGGCGAATTACGGTATCTTTTTTTTAATGATAATTTAATCAAAAATTGAGAACCATGTTTTACAAAAATTACACCTTTCTACCTGCAGTATGCACGCTGGATTGGTTTATCGAATTAATATTCAAATAATATTTTCATTCCAGAATCCATTAGAATTTTGAAAATACTTCACTCATATTTCTCTTTCCCGCCCCCTACCTACCCTGAATTGCCATGCCTACCCTTACACATTTTATGGTCAACATAAATGATTTTTGTGTATCCTTTATATTTTAACATTGAATACACCGATATCTACAATTTATCAAGATGAACGATGAAAGGTAGACAACACTCGAGCGAAGATACGCTGTAAATTTCATTATACCCTGTGTGTATTTCTAATATTATAATTGTAACATTGAATGTTTTGGAGAGTAAAAATAAATTTTATTTGCTTTCTTTCTGTTCTTCTGTCTTCAAGACTTTTGATTTTGAAAGCCTCAAACTTTTAGATGACTTTTATACTACGTTTCGTGGCGTCAAGCTGGTGTATGCAAACATTGTTTGTTTCTGCGTTGTGTTGTTCTATTTTCGTACTTCAATGTGTCAAACATTTCTAATAAATCGTCAAACATTAACTTCATAATTGGAAATGTGGGTCGTTTTTACCGTTAAAATACATAATTTTGATATGACTCTCGATTCATTGTTTTATTTAAAGGATTGCTTCGTGAAATCCGGAATAGGTGGAATTGAAATTGATTCGATCGTATGTATTTTGCACTCCATAGGATCTTCGCATGCGTCAGTTAAAAATGTAGGATTAATATGAATCGAGAACTTTTTTATTGTTTTCTGGGTTTACTTTAAAGTAAGGATTGCAAAACTTGTAAAGATATATTCCCTACTGACAAACTTTTCTGGAATACCTAGACAAAAGAGCAAATGTTCACAAAGAAATACTAAAATGAATTTGTGAATGATTCTTCGTCATCAGACCTAGATGAGTTTAAACGACAAAAGAGAATGTACAAAGGTACAAATGGTTTATGTGTTAGTTGGAATGATTCTGATTAGCCGCGAGTATTCTTAGATGTTTGTCTTTTTGATAGATTTTGTGTTTGCTTAGTGTCGATCTGATTAACAAAGCCTTTTCCAACTCATTTGTATAATTTTTTCTTATGTTGTGCTGTTACTCAACTGGCCCAAGACCACAATTAATGATCCCGCTTTTCGTTGTCCACGAATATAGTTCCTTTTAATTAGAGTGTATTTTTTCTTAATTTTTTTTCTTTCCCTTCCTCACTCATTTCTTAGTTTTTTTTGGGTGGAAATAAAAGAAGAGAGGTGAAATAATCTTCTGGATGTTGTATTTTAACTGATTTTGATATGGAAAGAGTGATTAGGCCAGGTGCAAAAAGGTGATATTTACAGTTTTCGGAACATCTCTTGACTTGTCCATAGGGGTATGGATGTGTATTGGCTAAATTTGTAGGAGTCATTGGTTCAATCTTTCTGAATTTTGGATATATTTTTGGACTAGTACTATACATTATACACACAAAAGATTTGACAAAAATGCAAGGTGCAATTTTTTTAATGAAACAAAACGTTATAAAGAACTAATAGGGGAATTTAATTGTGGTCTGTGGCCTAAGAGGTGAATTCAGGAAATATTGAATTTGTACTTTGACAACTTCCCTGAATGATCTATTGGTATTAATTTGTCAAACTACATGAGAATAAATGATTTCCACTTTTATTTGATAGAAATTTTGTAAAAAAGTGACATTTCAGCCTACATGCCCAAAATTGAACTTTTTCAGTTGTTTCAATATTTTTACAAAAGTAGCATGCTTACTTTCTCTCTGACAGATTTTTCTGGTTTTCTATTTGTGTTTGTGGTATCTAATGTAGATGTTTAACTCATTTTTGAACACTGAACACAAAAAAAAGTAGATAAAATCAGAATAAGAGTGCAAAATGTGCTGCTTTAATGGTCTTAGTCTAACGGTCAGTATGAAGCAAGTGAAAAATGAGGTTCTATGCACATACAAGTTGAATTCCTTTTAGCAGATTTCACTGAATCTGTATCAAAAGCACTTATTTCTGGTTGTTTGACCTTGTCTGTTTTACAGACTACCTTTATTTTTTTTTGTTTGATAGCTAGTGGTTAAAATATTGGCCTTTTGAGGCTGAAATTTCATGCCGGTTTTAAAAAGTAAAGTAAATAACTTTGCATCAAATCATACTGTCTACATATATAGTTGAAAGTGACAGTCATGTTACATCCAGGCTCCATGTTTTATCATATCTAAACAAAGATTTGAGCAAAAAGAAGCATATCTCTATCTACCATATCATTTATATACTTTTTAATATGCAAATGTGGGGAACGACCTAAATTGACAACCTGTTTTTTTAAGCTTGACATTGCTGAAGACCATTTTATTCACATGTGTTATGCTATTTGAAACTTATATTTCCATTCAAAGTACATTTATAACATGTAAAAGGTGTTTTTATAACTTAACAACTTCAGAAAATTGTGGTAAGTGAAAAATATTACATTTCATATAAGGCCTCGATTCATTTGAAAACCTCTATTTTTTGGCACAGGCTCATATAAAATTTACTTCTGGCCATTTTTTATAAGTCTGAAACATGAAGTATGCTATCTGTTGCTTTTAATAGGTGATAACTTGTACATAGAAACATTAAAAAATGTAAGTTTTGGTATATTTTGGTTTTTAGAAGCCCAAATTTGATAGTTGAAATTGTTCTAATTCAACGCCACAATTCAGCACCCAAAGTTCAGATATAAAAAATGCCACATTTTTTATAATTGGTATCATATGGCTTTGAAACTTTGTAAACTGTTTTATAATACACTAAGCTTAAATCATGCCAAGTTTTATTAGAATTGGTCAAGTTTTAGACCCCTAATAGGCCCAAGACCACAATTAATGATCCCGCTTTTCGTTGTCCACGAATATAGTTCCTTTTAATTAGAGTGTATTTTTTCTTAATTTTTTTTCTTTCCCTTCCTCACTCATTTCTTAGTTTTTTTTGGGTGGAAATAAAAGAAGAGAGGTGAAATAATCTTCTGGATGTTGTATTTTAACTGATTTTGATATGGAAAGAGTGATTAGGCCAGGTGCAAAAAGGTGATATTTACAGTTTTCGGAACATCTCTTGACTTGTCCATAGGGGTATGGATGTGTATTGGCTAAATTTGTAGGAGTCATTGGTTCAATCTTTCTGAATTTTGGATATATTTTTGGACTAGTACTATACATTATACACACAAAAGATTTGACAAAAATGCAAGGTGCAATTTTTTTAATGAAACAAAACGTTATAAAGAACTAATAGGGGAATTTAATTGTGGTCTGTGGCCAACTGTCCCATGTAAGGGAATGGTTGAGTTCTCACAAACATCTAACCTGCCAAATTATGTGTGTGCCTCTCCCAAGGAAGACTATTGGTTTTCACTTTTTTTATGGTTTGCAATTTTGTCATGCCGGACCTTTTATAGCTGACTGCACGGTATGGGCTTTACTCATTGTTTAAGGCCGTACAGTCCCATTTAGTTATAACACGCTTTAATCCATGGTGGGTAGGTATCTCATTGACAATCATCTCAATATGTTTTATAAAAGCAAAATCAAAATAATAGTTTCTTATCTTAATTATTCCGTGCGAATAACAATCTCCTTTTTTCATTGTTAGCATTCAAATTAGAAAAAAATGGGGAACGTTTAGATAAAAAGAATGATAGACAATATCAAAATTTATAAACTCCTCTAGGGTTAGATCGTAGTCAGAGTCATAATTATATTAACATGGTGGTAAACACGCGCTTTTCATTTCTTATTTGTCTTACCATATTTTAAAGTTTACGCAGAGTAAACGTTTGCGTTTAAATGAAGTGCACATTAAGCAAACGTTGCTAAATTATTTTGTGTCTGTTTACGTGATAAGCTTGGTCAGCTATCATCGATAATTTCGTTTACAGCAATTTTACTTTATCTGAACATTTACAGATATTTTATCAAATAACAAAAAATGAAAATGAATACACGGAATAGGAAATGTATGTTAAAAACTAAAATATCACTAATATTGGTAGGACATATTGAACCTTTCTTCTATATGAAAATTTAAGACATTTGCAATGCGTCTTACGTTGATGATTGATACAAAACGAGGCTACAAATACTTTAACAAATACCACAAATGTCGCTTGTCATACTGATTATTATAATTCTTACACGTAAAAGTTCATATACAGGTAACGCAAAGTCAATTTATTTTGAGAAACAAATAAACCGTTTGACAAAATACAGAAATATTTCAGATTTACCGTTTGAAAATTAAGCACTTGTCGGTGAAAAGATTCCGTATAGCGAGGAACAAAAATTTTAAAACCGGATTTCAATCATTTTCTTTTTTCTGTTTGAAATTCGAGAAACATTAAGGCATTATCACATATCATTACTGTTGATAAATTGTGATTCGTTTCTTTCATTCAAATTTGAGTCTATATTGTATAATCCCAGCAGGCACACAACGTTGATTTAACATTGAATCAATGTTGATTTTCTGTGTTGAATCAATATTGAATTATTATTAGATTTTGCAAATTTGTATCAACGTTGAAATCCTACGTTGAATCAACGTTGATATTCAACTTTGAATCAATATTGAATAATGGTTGCTTCAACATTGTTTAAACCAATAACTCACCTTGAATTCAGATTGAATTCAGGGTGAAATTATACTCAACATGGAATCAAAATTGGTTAGTGGTTGTGTTCAACTGTGTTTCCACCTAAAACTTAAGTTTCATTCATCCTGTATTTTCTGTGTGTTGCATTCCATAATTTTATACTGTAGCAATATTCAAGCTAGTGTCTTCTCAAGGCCCTCTACATGATAAATGTCATATCAACATTCTGCCGCAGGAAACTTTATCCAATAACTGCTCCATCAGACCAAGATATAAAAATTAATCTCAGAAAAAAATTGAACTTTAAATAATATCATTGCCTGGTCATATTTGACATGATGTGATCTTTTGCTCATAGTTGAAGACTGTATGGTGACCCAAAGATATATAAATAATGTTCTTTGGTTGATGATTGTCTTGTTAACAATAGGCAACAATAAAAAATTTGAATATATACCATTGACTGTCAATTACTCATAGAAGAATTTTCAACAATAAACTAAAAGACCACATTCTTGTGATAAGAGCATGGCTTGACCATGATGATGTCAGCAACCAATCAACTGAATAACAAATATGTGTGTTTAGGGCTTTCCTACGAACCATAATTTAACCCCCAAGATTTTTTTAACATTTAACGATATGCATATAAAAACACAAATTATCATAGAGAAATATTGATCTATCCTAATTTTTGAAAGCACACAACCCTTAATACACATAATTTTTGCCCAATGTCTATTCTGAATATCTGAGTGCTCAAATATAAAACTAATTTTGCTGTTCCTACTCCATGTATTCTAATGTCCAACCACTGATTATAGAGAAATATTCAATACGATAAAATTAAAATAAATTTATTTATTAATAGTGAAAACTTCAACTTCTTTCTTCTCCCACCCTGTCTTTTTGGAGCCCATTTAAGAATGGTTTTTTTTTTTGGTCAGACACTTGTTGTTCCGTGATTCCATAGGTCTTCATGATGACATCTACAAAATCAAAAGTTATAACATTGTCAAGTTTAATACTGTTCAACACATTTAACTATTAATAACTTCATAATGATGATATTTAAAGTATAAATCAAAAGCATAAGAACTCATGAAAACTAAATGAAAGTTAAACTTCCATCTAAATCTCAACTACATTTCCTTTTATATAGACCAGAAGGTATAATCTGCAAGAAAATCCTAAATACTACATTTTAACTTGAACAAATTGAAGGTTTATCCACATATGTCTTTTTCTGTATTACTTGTGCAGCTGCATGGATATCTGTCTGATTGACATATACAAGGGTTGTAAAGGGGGTTCTCAACACGAAAACAAAAATCCCCAAAACGTCGCACGGAAAATAAAAATTGGGATAAACGAAGCACGAGAAATAAAATCGTAACTATTAAGGAAAAAGTAGTAGCAGTAATTATTACTCAGTCGTTCTTGGAGATCACACAGTCATGATAATGGACACGAAGACCCTGCGGTCACCTTTTCGCGTCTGCTAGTTGCATCCGATTTGAAAAAAATTATTCATAACTTGATAGCAATTAATATCCATGATATCCTGGGAACACATAATTTAAAAATCCAGACTGACTTGGAATTTAGTCCCGGTTTACTTTTTTTATCAAATGTGGGACAAGCACGAGAAATTCAGAGTACCAACACGATACACAGAAAATAAATATGGGGAAACTAAAATAACACGTTGAACCAAAGACAAGAAAACGAGAAATATAAAGGCCAAATACGTTGCATGCAAATATTTCTTTACCACCCTCATATGATATACCCTTCGACTTTGATTACCTTGTCAAAACACTACTTCAATTTTGACAGTAAAATATTAACGGTCCAACTTGGTGAGCCATATAGCTTCTTACCTTTCCATCCCAATTTTGTAAACAACTCAAGCCCCCCTTTTTGTGAGATTTCGTGTAATTGAATTGAACAGGTAAATAAAGATAAAATTTCTTTTTACTTTTGATTCAATCATATGATGAATTCAAATAGTCAACGATAAAAATTCATGAGACGTTGCAAGGTAAATCGGGAATGGTAACATGCTAAACATTCCCCTTTTCCTCGTGTAAAATTTCAACTTTTCAGTACAGTTTTCATAACTTGATATGCTCACATTTCTAAAATACGATACTGTATTTACTGTAATCACAACAATTTATATATACTTACGATAAAATATAAAAGCTGTATACAGGAAAGATATTGATAAAAACTCTGTAGAATCACCTTGTGGTCTCGAAAGCGGATATTCAAACTTTGGCAACACAAACAACTGCGCATGCGCATATCTGAATTTGTCTTAAAATAGAAATGTTAAAAATGCCGCGAAAATTTAAAAATCACTATTCCAATAGATCTGTCGGTTTTTTATATTACAAGTTATCAACCATTGTTTATGAACTGATATATACGTCTTTCTCTTTAGATTGTTAAAAAGATTAGAAAAAAAAGGAATGAAAACAAGATATTTGACATCAGCAGCCACGGAAAAAGGGGCATATTTTTAGGGGAAGGGGTTATTCACAAATACTTATATATACTGTATGATTCTGTATGCAAGCTGGTCTATTGTGAAATTTGGGAATTTCTATTATATGGGGTGCAAAGTTCATGATTAATTTATGCTGATATACACTGCGATTGTTTTATATATAATTCTATAATCACCACGACAATTAGTGATAAATCTACTGAATATTCTATTTTATGTGAATATCGTTGTCAATTTAAAAAGAATTATGATGTGCCCAATACTTCTTTTTTGACAATTCTGGTATCCACAACTACTGGGTTTTATATATGATCATATATTGTTTAGCCAACGTTGATTCAATATTGGTGTTTCAACGCAATGTTAATTCAACGTTGAAACAATGTTCTGATTTCAACGTTGAATTGTCAACGTTGAATCAATGTTGAATATTTGTTGATCAATGTATAACCTAAAATCAACAAAGATTCAACGTTGATTCAACAAAGTGTGCCTGCAGGGATAACTGACACATGGCTAAAAATCTATAGATGTATTTATAAACCGCATGTTGTGTCTGTAATTAGATATTCTTTTGTCTACAATACACATTATGATAGCAAGTTGATGTTGTTATCCTGCCTGAAGCAATTCTTGTATGAATGAGCCTTCCTGTCCGATAATACCCACAAATAACATGGCGGCAGCGGTGGGCAACGTCTGAAACGGTATAAAACTGACATTTATTATAAACATTTTGTGTAAGTGGTCCTGAAAGCATCATCACAAAATAGTAATATTCCACGTGGTCGAAAGACGCTGAATCAGCAATGGCCGAGGCTTTAACAAACACTTTCCGTCTACCCCACAATTAAATGTCACAGAAGGAAATGTGTCCGAAAACTTACAGAAATGGAAACAGCAGGTTGAAATATATCTTGTGGCTAGAGTAGCTGTTAAATAGGACGGTGCAGTCCAAGTAGCAATAATTTTGAATTGTAGACATATTTGACCAAATTCAATGGACAGAGGAAAGGGATGAAAACTTTTCGAAAAACTAGACGCCTACTGCATTCCAAGAAAAAATGAAGTTTTAGAGTCCCATAGATTTTGGATGGAACCATATCAAGAACCTTTTGACAATTTCTTAACTGAATTGAAAATTATAGCAAATTCGTGCAATTCCAAGAGAACGATCGTATGATGCGTGACAAAATTATCTTTAGTGTCACGGGCAAACTGCAGGAATTTTTATTACAAGAGGTCAAGATGAACTTAGACAAGGCAATTAAAATTTGTTGAGCTGATGAACAGTCAAATAAACATGTTAAGGAGTTGAGAGAATCTACAAATTCGACTCACACAGTCAATGAAATCACACACCATGATAAGTTCAAAAAGAAAAGGTACCAACCTGATAGTAAAAGACCCCAAACTCCCTCAATCTCAGAGTAAAACTTCTTACAACACACAAAATAACAACAAAGAATGCAATTTCGGTGGCTACAAACATGAAAGAAAAAAATTAAAATATCCAGCATGGGGAAAAACATGCGATGCTTGCAAAGTTAGATACCATTTTAAAGCTAAATGCAAGAAATACACTCAATCAGCGCAACACAAAGTGACCAAGAAAAAGATGACTGCTGGTTGAATGCCATCACTGGACATACATCTGAAAATGTAATTCAGACAATAGGTGAAGAGTCTAAAAACATTTCAGCTTTAATGAATGTAAATTATTGCAATGTAAGATGTCAGTAAGATAGCGCAGCCGATGTAAATACGATCTGTTAACGAAAATTGGCGATCTAGGGGAGATAACTCTGAAAGTTGATGAGAATGTACCTGACAAAACATTACCGAGTAAGAAAGTGTCGCTCTCTTTACAAGATGATGTTAAGAAGGAAATCGACAAGTTAGTTGAGAGACAAGTTTTGATACCAGTGACCGAACCGTCTAAATGGACTAGTCAAATGGCAGTCGTAAGAAAACCGAATGGAAAACTGAGAATTTGCATTGATCCGCAACCGCTAAATACTGCACTGATGAGAGAACATTACAAACTACCAACTCTAGATGACGTACTTCCGAAATTTTTTAGCCGCCTTGATGTCCGAGAAGCATATTGGCATGTAAAACTTGACAAAGAATCTAGTGATGTAACAACAATGATAACACCATTTGGGCGATACCGTTGGGCGAGACTTACGTTTGGTCTTAAAGTTTCAAGCGAAATGTTTCAACGAAAGCTCACAGAAGCTCTGGGAGATATAGAAAGAGTATTCACAATAGCAGACGATATCATTGTTGCAGGTTGTGGTCGTACGAGTGAGGAAGCACGAACAGACAATGACTGAAAACTCCAAAAGTTGTTTCAACGGTGTAATGACCATTACATTCTTCTTAAAAAAAGGAAAAGAAAGAAGTTAGGTTAACCGAGATCACGTTTCATGGTCACCAATTTACAAGGGAAGAGGTAAAAGTTGACCATGCAAAAGTAAAAGCGATACAGGAAATGCCCTGTCCGACCGACGTGTCAGGAGTGAAAAGACTATGCAGATCTGGCAAAATTTCTGCCAGATCTGGCAAATGATCTAGCCCCAATCAGAGAACTCACTAGAAAAGATGTACCTTGGAAATGGTCCAGTGAATGCGAGGTAACATTTCAAAGAGTAAAGAAAAGACTAACTGAAGCACCCATATCGGCCTATTTTGAGGCCAACAAAGAAGTTGTGCTGCAAGTCGACAGTAGTAAGAGTGGCCTGGGAGCCGTACTGCTGCAAGAAGGGAAACCTGTTGAATATGCGTCAAGAGCTCTAAAGCCGTCTGAGTGTAACTGGGCTCAGATTGAAAAAGAAGCATTATCGATGTTATATTTTTCTCGAGCGTTTTGTCCGGTACACATATAGACGTAAAGTTAAAGTTCAGAATGACCACAAGCCACTTGCTGCGATATTTAGTGAACCGCTGAGCCAAGCCCCGAAACGTTTACAGGACATAATGATGAAATTGTTCCGCTATGATATTGAATTCCGATTTGTAAAAGGCGTCAATCTTGTACTAGCAGACACTCTAAGCAGAGCGTTTTTGGAAAATGACAATGCAATAGAGACAAGCGACCAAGAATTATGGAAGAAAGCACGTTTGAAGACAAACCAGATACGCGACTACAAGAAGAAAGAACTGCTACTACAGAAGATTCCGAATTACAAACTCTCGTAGACATTATCAATGATGGATGGCCACAACATAGAGACCGATACTGACTTTGTTTAAATACATGTGAAACAGACTATATAATTGAGAAAATTATTTTTGGTTAAATTGTTTTGATAATTATTACGAATTTTAAAAACGAATTTCATTCTTAAGAAAAGGGGATGTTGATAAATTGTGATTAGTTTCTTTCATTTAAATTTGAGTCTATATTTTATAATAACCGACACATGACTAATTATCTATAGATGTATTTATAAACCGGATGTTGTGTCTGTAATTAGATATTCTTTTGTCTACCATACACTTGATGTTGTTATTCTGCCTGAAGCAATTCTTGTACTAATGAGCCTTCCTTTCCGATAATACCCACAAATAACAATTACCTCAATGCACATTGGAAGTCAAACTGTAACTAGAACAAAAATTCGATACTAGTAGTTGAATGATGTCACAAGCATACTTTTTAAATATTTATTTTTAATTTTAAATGAGACTGTTACACTATGTCGAAATTCGTAAATTTGATGTCATAGTCACTTACAGAAAATGAACGATTATTTTACTGATTTTATATTTATAAAGGTTAAAAGGGCAGTAGATAATCTCTAGTACGCAGCATTTTAAAACAGATTCCAAACTCTTTTCTACCCTGTTTCTTCAAAATTTCAATCTTTTGTCTTTCTTGTGAACCCAGAACCCTGGACCACAGATTACATATTCCCAGTTTATAAAGGGAATGATGCATCTGGTCCTTATAAATATCGTGGAATTACAGTTACTGATTAATTTGGCAAGCTTTTTGATAAGATTCTCGACACCAGTATTTGCGAGTTCTTATAGATAGGTATCTCATCATAAATGATAGCCAAATCGGTTTCTCCAAAAAGCATGACCATCTGACCATATGTTCATTCATAAAGTCATCTAATACCTCAAATTTAACAAAAAGATTGAATATATTTTTTATAAAAAACAACGAGTACAACAGCTTTTCTGTAAGCAATGACCTTAACCATGACATCTCTCATTAGAAATTAGGCAATAGCACAGCGCAAGTGCAACTGATTAATCGTGACAAAAAAGGTAGTATTAAACGATTTGTGAATAGAAATTCAAGCACACCAAATTGTTTAACAACTGTTATGAAAAAGGTTAATAAACAAATGCGAACGCATGGAAAACAAAACAAAAAAAACCTTCTATCATCTCATTTTATTTTTCACGTGTTCCATGATTCTGTGTTGATTGTTTATCAATAGATAAAGATATGTAGATTTTGGCACCAAAACACAAAAGTTAATTTGCAAGTAAAGTTTTTCGTTCAACAACCACAGAATGAAATATTTTTGTGGGGTATACCGTTTGAATTCGTAATAAATGTCAAAAAACGTACACCCAGAGGACTTTGTTAAATATATATTGATACATTGGTACAATAACTTCCACAACCTTATGATTACCAGAAACTCGTTTCATACGACTTTAAGACCATATAACTGATGGGTATTGTAACACAAAAGAAGGAAAGGTGTTTCCAAATTTATTTTTTCAACAGAGCGCTTTCAAATATGTCATTTACCCAGGGATAAAACTAGTTATTAAACATCGATGTTGTTCCAAACTTTTACAATATCATCATGAGCATTTTTGCTAAGAGCACATCTTGTGTTCGATTACGGAATAGAGTGACATACCTTTTTAGAGCTAAAGGGAGACGATGTGAATCCTACTCTATTAAAGATTTTCATAAATGATCTGCCTGCTCGTCTTGAAAATTCACTTGATCTAGTCGGTGTTAATTCACGACCATTCCATTGTTTATCATATGCTGATGATATTGTCATTTTCCCAAACTTAGAAAAGGACTTAAGGGTAAACTTGATCGATTCGGTACGTATTGCAAAGATGGTGTTAAAACAGTGAAAATGTGCTTGTTTGATTGTGCCCATTATTGTTAATATGAAGTGATAAATTTTAGTTCATCTGGATTTTTTTCCTTCGCTCAAAGGAAATTGTATAATAAGACATTAAAGGCATTCGACAAGCAACGCAAGGACTTCTTGTCACTGAATCCAAATATAAAAACAACCTTCATGTGTTTGATCAACGACGGTGTTCGATTACGCCTAATCTTTTGTAGAGTTCAGAACAATGGGGATATTTGAAGCCTTTCAAAACAAAATTATAATCTCAGCCTACAACAGTAGATTAGGCTTATCTTAGGCTTCAGTAAGATAACAGGTAAAATTTTGTAAACTTTTACTTGTGGGGAAAAGAGCAACACATATTGCAACTCTTTTGGAACTAAAGAGAATCCCTTTGCATTTTGTCATTTAAAAGTCTATAATCAGATCAGATCAGACTTACAAATTTGCAGTACTAAAGGAGGCATATTTGTTGTCAAAATTCTACATGAGTAGGTATGGATCTTTCGACCTTTTACAAAAGAACATACAATTTGTTGGCAGATTAGCTTCTACAAGCAAATAGCTTTGAATTTATATACAAGCATAAATGGAGAGTGTGTCCATTGGACACAGATGATGCCCCCGCTTTCATATAACGTTATAAAGGGGCATAACTTTAGAATGGTAAAAGTGACGCCATGTGAAATTTAACCTGATCTGAATTTTGTAGTAATAAGCATTGTGTATAAGTTTTATAACATTTGGTTGAGTCAAACTAAAGTTAGAGAACGGAAACCTATTTGGGTGGTACGTACAGACGTATGGACGTACGGACGTACGGACGGACATGAGTAACACTTAATGCCCCTCCGCTGCGGCGGGGCATAAAGAAATGTGTATCAGTAATACGAGATTCAGTGCAGACTCCAAATATACAGCTGTGTTGTCAAAAAGCTATGTAGTTACAGCACCTTCAAGACATTTTTTTTGTTTCCTGAACTATTTCGAAGGTTTTCGATCAATTGATTCTAAATGAAATGTTTCCAATTTCTACTTCGACAACAACATCGTTTGGCAGGAAAGAAATATTTGCCATTTGATTATACACTTTTATAATTTGGTTCTACATTGTACGTTTGAATGTGTGTCTAAAGTCGTGTTTTGCCCATTGTATTTGCAACGTAACCAATGATAAGAATAAAAAACACTAACTAAACGTCATCAAATTGGTTACGTAATTTTGAAGTATTTGCTACGGAAAACGAACATATAGTTTACCAAAAATGGAGTGAAATATTTCATATCGTTTGAAAGTTCTGTTATTTTTTTTTTTGGATCGAAAAATAAATTTCGTGTTTTAGCCTGAAACATGCAAATTTCAAACTGAAATATCTCGAAAAGAAAGTCATGATAGTATAAAAGACCATACTCAAGGTGAAGTCTATACAAAATGACAAAATCAAACGTTATCATCCAACGGAACGAGTGAAAAACAACTGTCATATTCCTGACTTGGTTCAGGCATTTTCCGAACAAAACGGTGGGTTAAACCCAAATTTTCTCTTGAAAATGCCTGGCCCAAGTCACAAATATGGCATTTGTTTTCCTTTCGTTCCGTTGGTTGACATAGTCTAGCGTTTGATTTTGTCAGTGTTTATGGACTTCCCCTTTTTTAATTTATCTTAGTAGTTTTGTTATACTTTTTTATTAACAGAGCATGAGTAGGAAAACTAAATAACAACAACTGAAACATTGTCCTGAAGCTTACCCTACTTTTCACATATTTAGCACGTTCAAAAACATTAATGTGTCGTCATATCTATACACACCAGAGTTGTATATTACCTCATGTTAACGCATTCCATATATTGAAGTTTCTTTATTCTAGTAGGAAAACACAATGAGTTATTTCCTGATATAAAAGCACTAAATACAGTTGGAACATGCTAATATTTTGTTGGGGGTAGTTTACGTACCTCTACACAAATTCTCAGTTCGGACAGGAAGAAAAGCATGGGAATTTTTATATTCTTTAACTTTCTCTTCAGTCGTGGTTAATTTCATATATCACAATTTAATTAAGTATATAATGCAGGGTGACTCCAGAACCCGGTTATTTACCATTACTCCAATCAGTAAGTCATCATTATACACTTATGGATAATCAGATAAATAACATAACTAGAGGGTCTAATTAGCATGTGTCTCTCACCTGCAACTTCAACTATAGCAAAAATCCTCATCTATTAACAGTTAACTGACACTATCAGCCATGTTGACGTATTTGTAGATCTTGAACTGATGATCATTTTTGCGTTCTTACGTTTCTATATATTTTAATAGTTTTCAATATAATAGGCAAATCATGATTTAAGGGCAGTTACTCGTATAAGGAGTAGACTGACGATTTTGTGCCAAGTTGACTCATTTGTAGATCTTGTCTTGCTGATTATATTTGCTATTTAGATTTTCATCTATATTATCGTTTCAAAGATAAAATACCATTGACTTCAGCAACATCAAATCATTTGATGATCTTGTCTTGTTTAACGTTTTTGCAATAATTATTTTTTTATCTATCTATAAATTATAGTACCACAAAATAATCTAAAAACACAAAAGATTGGGAAAAAATCGCCATTAAATTGTCATAACTCTTACAGGGAGTCAACTGACAATTTCAACATTATTGACTTATTTGTAGATCATGTCTTGTTGATTACTTTTGCAATTATATCGATGTATTACAGTTTAACAGAAAATAGACAAAAACACAAAACAAAAAATGGTATCAAATCGTCATTAAAAGGCAATATCTCCAATGTCATGAATGTTGAGTCGACTGACGATTTCAGCAAAGAGAATTATTTGTAGATCCTTTTTGTTATATAACGTTTCTGTCTATCTATTATAATTTTCAAGATAATTGGCAAACATGATAAAAATTGGTAACATTCATTTTTAAGGGCAATAACTCCTAAAAGAAGACGTCTGATAGATTTTGATGTAGATAGACAGTTGGCAGATCGTTTTTTAAGACGTAATTAACGTGTGGGGGGGGGGGGGGGGGAAATAATCAATATGTGTAAAACGGCAGTTTTCGAATATATCGAATAATGAGTAGTTGTTTGTGTATTATTTCTTATTCACATGGATCATGAAAGTAATGTTCAGAAACTATGAAATAAGTTGGTAAGTTAAAAAGGAATCTCAACAACAAAACAAAACTGAAGCACGAGTTTGAATTCAAACATTGTCAATGTTCTTTTCGTGCTATTTGGACTGGGAAAAATTCTTTCTTCTAACCCTTGACAACATACCTGTTTCGTGGATTTTATTTCTACCGTAGGTTGTGACAAAGATGCACATCGTTTCCAGCTCTTATGATTGTGGCTTAAATACGCATGCACAATTTGCTGGAGTTCGTCACAAGTGCTTCTAACAGATCTGTCTTTAGATTTATCTTTGTATGCTAAAACATTAAATTGTTGTAATTAAAGTGCATACATATTCGACACATACATTTGTCTTCTTTTTGTAAAATCATATCATACTACTACCGCATCGCTATTCCGCAAAGATCATTGGAAATATTCTAATTGAATTCCTGAATCTTCCTTTACGTAGTATTTTTTATTAATGCACGCAAATCAATCTATTGAGAATCGTCAGGATGAACCATTGCTACGTTTATATAATTTATGACACATGAAAGGTTATGAAATTTGAAAGGATTCAACCCCCTCGGGCACAGTTGACCTGAGGTGAATTTGCCTTTAATTGTTGTGTCCTTTTTAGTCATATAGCTCGTTAACTGTTTCTATTCTTATACATCTTTGGATTTCAAATATTCGGCGTTGAGCTTTCGTGATGAAGGTAAATCCAGAAAAGCGCTTCGGCCGCATGAATTTTATAAAATGTAGTTTTTATTTTTTTTACAGCACTGTGTCGACACCGCTGCTGGTGGTCTATTACTCCCAAGGGTGGTATCAGCTCAATAGTCAATAATTCGGTACTGACATGATTTATACTCCGGACGCATTAAACTTATAAGTGTTATTTTCATTTTTTTTTTCTCGTGTGTTAGAAAGGGCAAAACATGTGTTTTCTTACCTCTCCATGGCAATTCAGATACTGCTATATCTACATCGATTGTCATATCTTTAGAAGTATCAATCTTGCAAATCTCTGTAAACTTTGCTAAAAATGTTAAGATACTCGCAGCAAATTTCTCTGGATTAAGGACTATATCATACGATACTGATGATTCTATCTGCACAGAGCCTGCATAAACAAATATTATTTTATGGCTCGACAACTCTGTCACATGTTGCATCATCTTCTTTATATATGCAATGGACATATTTTCCGGATTTTCTAGTGTCCATTTCACGAAGTATTCTGTTTTATCTCCTATAATAAATACAAAACCAGATTTAATCCAACACTTTTCACTTTTGTAAACAGTTTATATTGTGAGTGTCCTTATTTTTTTGGCATATTTGATGAACGTGCCTACATGAACACATCAGCTCAGTAGTCAGTACTTCGATACTGACATGATTTATAACAAACTTTTCTAAAATTGTCCGTTTATAAATTTTGAAATTATAAAGAAACTAAGGTTTCAACTCCCTCAGGCAAAGTTGACCTTAAGTTAGATGAATTTAGCTATTTGTTTTAGGTATTTTTGTCATATAGCTCTTCAACTGTTTCGGTACTTATACATCCCTCGGATTTCAAATGTTTGGCATTGAGCGTTCCTGATGAAGGTAAATCCAGAAAAGCGCTTCGGACGCATGAAATTATTAAACGTGCTGTTTTCAATTTTTTAACAGCTTCTCAGTTTGCGTTTATTGATGTATCTCTGTCCTGTCCTGTCCTCTTTCCTGGAAAATAATTGGGTATCGATTTTTTCTTAAAAGAAGCGAAGAAACAGAAGTCTGTCGGGACAAAATACCTATCGCATTGCATTAGGTAAGACGATTTAAAAACACATTGTGTTAGCACTTTATAGTTAGGTCTTTCAGTTTTCCGTGGAAAGATTATATGATTGTGTTCTGATTTTTATGTGGTCTTTCCACTTTTCCGTGGAAAGAACTTTTGATTTTGTCCTTTACCCAATTGTTCGTTAAATATTTGTTCAGTTTTAATAGAGACTCCGTTTGAGAGGATATTTCCCCTTTTGTATTTGACATATAAATGTAACTCATAAACCGCAAGAGATAGAAACCTAGGGTATCTTGCTTTGATGTCATTTATCCACCAAATAGAAAATGGGATGATGCTCATAGGTCAGTTCATGTTCTAAGTTTTGTCCTTTGCTTGTATGTGCATCTCATCTCAAACTACAAAAGGTAGATACCTAAGAACTGATAAAAAATGTTCGGGTTATTGAGAGAAAGGAATGGTACATTCTGTCCAAAGCGATCTGATGACATCTTCTAGGAGTTATTGCCCCTGAAAATAGGATATTTTAGGTCAATAGATTATTATTTCATACTGGTACAAAATAAAGTCATGGGGTCTTTTAAAAAGATATGGTGACATATGATCTTGAAATATATCAACCGCAAATGACCTGGTACAAACCGGAAATAGCCATTTTCTGAAATAATTTAAGCAGAAAGTACTTAGTCTCTGATGCATGATTTTTTTATTATTAATTGTTTTTGGCTTTTAACTAGCTGTCAGTAACTGCGAGTACTCTCAAATCTTACTTTCTTGTCTATTTGACCTGTTGATACTAATTAGGTCTTTCCCCTTTTCTGTGGAAAGACCTATTGTATTTGTTCTGATTATTATTATTTTTTTCTTCCGCAAAAGTTTCGCAATATGTTGCTAAGATATTTCTTATATAGTATCATACAGTTTATGCGCTTTTTATTTTCACCCATTCTAAAATTTTCTTTGTAAGAGTTATCTCCGTATTCACTATTTATCAAGTGTGTGCATCTCCCTCGTAACAAAAAAAAAAGATATCGACAAAATTCTTTTTCTAAATTGTTTGTTACATCCTCAGGAATTTTTGGCTAATTTGGATCGAAGCGATTCTATGAAATTTTACAGGAGTTATCTACCTTCATCAAATAAATTTGTCGGTATGTTTTTTAACTCATAAACCGTTAACCGTATAACCATGGAATCTTTTTATTTGAGGTCCCTAGGTCCTAACTTAGAAAATGATGTCAAGGTCAAAGGTCAAGGTCAAGTTCTCAATTTTGACTTTTCCTAGTTTTTGCATTTTCTCCAACACTTTTAAAGATATATATGAAAGAACAAGTGCAAAATGTTTGCTTTATTGTAATGAAGATATGTTACATTTGGTTTGAAACAATCTAATGGCATCTTATAGGAGTTAGTGCCCCTGAAATGTCTAATTATAAGGTTAATTGATTATTACTTCAACTTGGTTCATTATAAAGCCATATAACCTTTAACAAAAGGTTGGGTGACATATGAACTTGAAAAATGACAACCGGAAGTGACCTTCAGAAAACCGGAAGTATCCATTTTTGCACTTTCTTCATGGAAAACTACTCGGAATTCATATATTTTGTTATTTTAATACATTAACTTATCACTAAAGACTAGAAATGACTTTCGATAAACCGGAAGTGGCCAATTATCTCCTGGTTTACAGGCAAAAGTATATAGAAACTATATTTTTGGAATCAGTGTGAAAGAAACTATCATATGAGACCGGAAGTGAAATTTACTTCACCGGAAGTAGCTATTTATCTCCCTTATTTCACTCAGAAGTATATAGAAACCACTTATTTATCGCATCAGTATAAAGAAACTGATAAGATGCCAGTTTTAACTTTGAGTAAACAAGAACTAGCTTCTTTTCAATAAATTTGAAAATTGCTATGGAAAAACCTTTAATTGTTCTCTGAACAATTGGGTTTTAATTGTAATGCTTTTTTTTTATTTAATGTTTACTTATCCAGGGTTTTATCTGGTCTATATACCAGCTTTGATAAGTGTTTGGTATTACAATACATTTTCACTTCTTCGTACTATAAACATCAAAATTATTTATTTTGTAAAAATATTTCCTTTCTCCATTTGAACTGTACACGTATACCTAACAACAAAATTATTTTCATTTACCTGTGTTTACAGTAATTGCAAATGGCTGATATTTTTATCTTAACATATTGTTTTTCTTAAATTGTTTAACATTTCACAGCGGTATAATATGTTACTTTAATTATTCTTCCCTTGTTTATTCATTTTGTATTTGCATTGTATCATAGATCAAATTTATTTGTTCAGTGTATGTACACTGGTGTTAACATTTCTTTTGATCGAGTTACGCAATTCCAATTGATATTTTATAGTATATTTTTCTATGTTGTGATGTTACACTATTGTTTCAGATAAGGGTGAAGGTTTGGTACCATTAAAACGTTTAAACCCGCTGCAATTATTGCACCTGTCCTAAGTCAGGAATCTGATGTTCAGTAGTTGTCGTTTGTTGATGTGGTTCATAAGTGTTTCTCGTTTCTCGTTTTTTATATAGATTATACCGTTGCTTTTCCCGTTTGAATGGTTTTACACGTCTAGTCATTTTTGTGGCCCTTTATAGCTTGCTGTTCGGTGTGCGCCAAGGATCCGTGTTGAAGACAGTACTTTGACCTATAATGGTTTACTTTTATAAATTTTGACTAGGATGGAGAGTTGTCTCATTGGCACTCATACCACATTTTCTTATATCTATTAGAAACTATATGTTGTAAGGATCAGCTTCAAGAAACCTTTAAATGACATCGGCAGACACCTATTGTAAACCAGAAAGCTATATATCTCCGTTATTTGGTGGAAAAGTATATAGAAACCATATCTTTTCGGAATCTTTGTAAAGTCAGTTATCGTGTTGCACCAGATGTGAGCTTCGGTACACCGAAAGTGGCTGATTATATCCATTATTTCAAGTAAAAGTAAATGAAAGCTATCATATGTGACCGAAAGTGACATTTTTTTAATAGAAAGCAGCAAATTATCTCTCTTATCTAAGGCAAACGTATATAGAAACAACATATTTTCTGAATAAGTATTACATATATTAAGAAGCCAATAGTAAAGAAGTAGGTTCAGTAAGGCCCTAAAATGGCCCCCTTTTTTGGCCTAAATTTCAAATAAGGATTTATTGACCAATATCACAATGAATCATAGCTAATACAGCGACTAGATAGGAAATGAGCCTTTTTTGTTGAAAATTTACGTTCCTGAGTTTTATTTATGACGTCACAAATAGTACTCATTTTGATTTTCCATGAAAAGGTCAATGAAAATGGGTAAATTTTAGGGATGTCAACTCGGTGAAGATTTACTACTCAATTACTCGTTGGATTTACCGAGCGATACTCGAGTACTCGCTCGGAAAAACATCCACGAAATGGAAACACAAAATTATACCCATTTTACGTATTGTTGGTCGTTGTCTTATGGACTTAAAACCATCAACATTATTACTTAGTCGACTATGTTAACCCATTGTATGCCAGAGGGCCGATTTTGGGCCGATCTGTACATACTACGTTCAGTGCCAGAGGGCCGATTTTAGGCCGATGTTATTTTAGCGACGTTACCAACGCCGTCATCAATACAGAATTGTGACGTCGATCTCCCGCCACCTAAGAGCGCACTTGCCACTTCCACTTGGCGTTGCATTTCAAAAATAGCGTATGGCTAATTTTTGGGTCAGATACTATATTATTATACACATTCCCCATTTCCATTCAATTTCCTATTCTTTAGAAACACTTTTGTCTATCGATAGTCCATTTGTTTCTTTTACTTGCATGATATTATTTACGACTCAAATGTTTTGTACAGCTTTGCAATAAGTTTGGTGTTTGGATTTTTTTTCTTTCGCACATAGTGCAGACAGATTCTGTTTTTGTTTTGGATTTTTTTTTGTGTGTGGGTGGGTGGGGGGTAAGTCATTAGCATATACATGGCGAATAAATAGATAGATTTCACAATTTTAGATATATTCATTATTCTTCCACACATACATGATTATGTTTGCATTTTTTATGAAGTCCATTTCCACATCTAACACAAACAGTTCTCGTTCTCTTTCTCCCATTCCACCCGTTTCTGTCTGAACAACCGCTACAATCTTTTTCCTTTCCGTCGGGGACCTTACGGAGTCGTATGCGCGCATTATTTAGTTCACGATTAGGGAGTCTTTGCTGACGTGATAAAAGATGCTCTTGTGCGAGATCCTCAATTATACTTTGCAGAAATGATAACCTCGAGAGACGTGGTGCATCACTATTTTGTTTATAAAGTATATAAGCATTTGTTACCATTCTTTGTAGTAGATTGAATACAATTTTTTTCCATACTTTCATAGTTTTTCTATCATCGACATATGCGCTGACAAGCTGATCAGCTAG